CTGCCTTGGCAGCAGCTAAGGGAAATCCCTAATAAATACAAAATACCAAAAATATAATGTATTGTCAGTCCTTGCATCCAAATTTGAGAGTGGTTACATTTCTCCAACCCATCCCCACCGCTTTTTACCGAAACAGTGGTGGGGAGTACAATTTGTTATGGTTTCAACTTCTGATTGCCACTTTAAGGGGACATCAGAGGTCAGCATGTGGGAGAAACAAACTTTTGGCTGTCTTTTTGAGCAGGTGAATATACCGGTTGTAATCTCATTGATCAACGTCTCAACAAAATATTAACCAATTGTCCACGTTGAAATGACGTAGTGTACCCAGTGGGATAATGTCTGTACCGTAAAATAAAGCTGACTTCAGGCTCTATTCAATCTGTATCGCTGAAACGTTACAGATTGCGCTATAGAAATGTAAAGGTAATTTCCGAGTGAGCCGACATATGCAGTGTTTACCGTGAATGTGGTCTCGGCTAATGCGGGAACATTACCTTTAAATTTCAATCACGCTGTAACAGTGCATTTCCACATAGCATGATAATTCAGAAAGCCATGGCAGCTCAGCCCTCATGTGGGTGATAACAAGTTAGCAAGCAGGCTAGGTAGTGCTAGGTATCAACAGCCAATCCGGTAGGGGCTGGAAGCTATAGTGAGCTTCGATTGGTTAATAGCGTTGCAATGTCGCAGAGTATTTACATAAAGTTCAGTTTTCCTCAAGTTTAGTCCCGCCATGTTCACGCTCCCTCGCCCATGCTCGCATCGCCCAACGGTCCCCACCCACTTCCCTTTCCTTCATTGAATATCAATGGCTTCCGAAGTTTCATCGCCCCCTGTCATCCCCTGTGGAAATCCACTGTAATGCTGAACTTCCGCGATACGGATTGAATAGAGCCCGACGTCTGCACTACTCTATGATGCGATTCTGTTTCCCACCAACGGGCTAGTGGCACATGATAAGCCTATAACACTGGTAGCCTACACATTTTACACCATCGAGGATTTGCTGCAGAGGAAGAGGGCTATTTTCTCACAGATCAAATGGACCTCTCTCTCATTTACACGTACTACAAAAATACAACCATTTGAAATCGCACCTTTTAATTTGTGATAATAATATTTACAATTTTACATGTCTATTTCCCAAACAAACAACTTGGCTCCCCATCACTCACTAAGCGCCACTTAAATTTTTTTTGCCTATTAAATCAATAGATTAATCCCCCCTCAAAAGTTATTAAATCACCAGTTACTCATTAATTGAAATATTTATTTATGGTAATACAACATAAATCATTACATTCAAATACACAAGTTAATGTACTTATCTATTTAGCATTTCTGCCTTGTTGGCTTTCCACTGACGCACACACACACACACATACACACATAACACACACACATAAACACACACACACACACACCCTGCTGATCAACCAGAAAGTGAAAGCGCTGACCATGTTTGTTGAAAAAAACAAATACCTCTGGTTATTTCGCCTTATGTTTTTGGCTTCAATGGCTGCATTGTTGTGCTGTGTGGCTGCATGTTTTTCTATAGGCCCCGAGGGACAATTGGGAGGCTAATCGCACCCCTTTTGTGGAAGGGCTCACCAGGGGGGCTTTAGCTTTGTCAACAGTGCAGAATGTCCCAGGGGGCCATCAGGGTAGTGCAGGGGGCCGCTCTGCTACGCTCACCTCTGTAAACGTCTAGGAGATTGACGGTGCACTCGAACGCTCCCCTCAACCTTAAGAGAGCTATAGCCCCGGGTATCTAGAACCACCAGGGAAGCATCCAGGGAGAGGGACAGGGACTGAGATCAACTGGAGAGAGAGAAGGAGAGAGGACCAGAGAGAGAGAGAGAGGTGACCATCTGGAGTAATTGGATTAGAAGAGAGGATAGGCTAGGTGGGGACATACCAGGTGTTCTGGTGAGGGCCAAGAGAGCTGGATCATGTGCTCACATGTGGGAGCCACTAGTGTGTATGGCAGTGGTGGTGGTGGTGGTGGTAGTGGTGAAGACAGTGATAGTGAGCTGGGCCATATGGGCGAAGCCTTGTGTCTGGAGGTCAGGCCTCATTTAAGATACATAGATACAGGTGGACCAGAGAGAGAGGCTCGCTCAGCTGGGGTGGAGCAGCCATCAAGGCTGGCGCAGCCTGGGAGAAAAGCACATAGAAAGGACTACAGAGAAAGGGACAGAGAAAGAGAGAGAGAGAGAGAGAGAGTGCAGGAGAGAGGAATAGAGACCGAGATTGGGAGAGGAACAGAGAACGAGGGTGTGCAGGAGAGAGAAACAGAGAAAGAGAAGGACAGAGACAGAGAGAGTGCATGTGAGAGAAATAGAGAGAGAGAGAGATAGAGTGTAGGTGAGAGATACCGAGAGAGAGAGAGAGAGAGGGACAGAGATAGAGAGAGTGCAGGTGAGAGAAACAGAGAGAGAAGGACATAAATAGAGAGAGTTCAGGTGAGAGAAACAGAGAGAGAGAGAGAGAGAGAGAGAGAGAGAGAGAGAGAGAGAGAGAGAGAGTGTCACGATCGTCTAAGGAAGGAGTGGACCAAAGCGCAGCGTTTGTAGCGAACATGTTGACTTTATTAAATAAAGCAACCACGAAAACAACAAAACCAAATGACGATACGTGAAGTCCAAAAGTGACAATGACTGAACAGGAACAAAAACCCACAAACACAAGGTGAAAACAGACAGTATAAATATGGCTCCCAATCAGAGACAACGAGCCAACAGCTGACACTCGTTACCTCTGATTGGGAGTCACTCAACCAAACAAAGAAATACAACACATAGAACCACCCAACCAAACAAAACACCACGAAACGAACACACCCTGGCTCAACACACAAAGTCCCGGAGCCAGAGCGTGACAGTACCCCCCCCTAAAGGCGCGGACTGCGACCGCGCCTCAATAAGGCTAAACAAGGGAGGGCTGGGTGGGCATACCTCCTCGGCGGTGGTTCTGGCTCCGGCCCTGATCCCCACCTCCTCTTCAACCCCCCAAAGTACCCCTGGTCCTGTCTAGCCCCGCTGGTCGGAGCCGGACTGACGACACGCGCCCCTGGCTTGGTGCGTGTAGGAGGAACGAGCTGGACCAGGCTGACGACTCGCATCCCTGGTTTGGTGCGAGTAGCAGGAACGGGCTGGACCAGGCTGACGACGCGCACCACTGACCTGGTGCGGGGAGCAGGACTGAGCCGGACCGGGCTGACGACGCGCACCACTGACCTGGTGCGGGGAGCTTGGATGGGCCGGTCTGGGCTGGCGACGCGCACCACAGACTTGGTGCGGAGAACAGAAACGGGCAGAGCCGGGCTGACGAGACGCACCACAGACTTGACGCGGGGAGCAGGAATGGGCCGGACCGGGCTGGCGATGCGTACCCCCGACCTGGTGCGGGGAGCAGGAACGGGCAGAGCCGGGCTGACGAGACGCACCACAGACTTGGCGCGGAGAGCAGGAACGGGCAGAGCCGGGCTGACGAGACGCACCACAGACTTGACGCGGGGAGCAGGAATGGGCCGGACCGGGCTGGCGATGCGTACTCCCGACCTGGTGCGGGGAGCAGGAACGGGCAGAGCCGGGCTGACGAGACGCACCACAGACTTGATGCGGGGAGCAGGAATGGGCCGGACTGGGCTGGCGACGCGCACCGCAGGTTCGATGCGGGGAGCAGGAATAGACCGGACCGTACTGGGGACACACACCACTGGTTCTACACCGGGCTCTGGAACGGGCCGGACCGGACTGGCAACACACGCCATTACCTCTCGCCGTGCCTCCACACCTTCCATCCCCTCTTCTACCAGTGGCCCCCGTAACCCGGCGGCCTTCTCCGGCAACCCACTGGACCGCTCTATCGCGGCCTCCTGCTGGTCCGCCGTCGTGAGCCCCCCCCTAAAAATTTTCGGGGCGTCTCTCCTACCCGTGGACCACTTCTCCATCTCCCTCGCCAGCTTCTCGCCCTTCTGCCATAACGTCAAGCCCTTGTCTTCCTCCCTCGGCTTGACCCAGTCCAGGAGGCGAAGGAGATCTGTGAGGGATCTCCCTGGCGATGGCTCCTGGACACGCTGCTTGGTCCCATCTTGGTGGGTTTTTCTGTCACGATCGTCTAAGGAAGGAGTGGACCAAAGCGCAGCGTTTGTAGCGAACATGTTGACTTTATTAAATAAAGCAACCACGAAAACAACAAAACCAAATGACGATACGTGAAGTCCAAAAGTGACAATGACAGAACAGGAACAAAAACCCACAAACACAAGGTGAAAACAGACAGTATAAATATGGCTCCCAATCAGAGACAACGAGCCAACAGCTGACACTCGTTACCTCTGATTGGGAGTCACTCAACCAAACAAAGAAATACAACACATAGAACCACCCAACCAAACAAAACACCACGAAACGAACACACCCTGGCTCAACACACAAAGTCCCGGAGCCAGAGCGTGACAGAGAGAGAGGACAGAGATAGAGAGAGCAGGTGAGAGAAACAGAGAGAGAGAGAGGGACAGAGAAAGAGAGAGTACAGGTGAGAGAAATAGAGAGAGAGTGATAGAGAGTGCAGGAGAGAGAAATAGAGAGAGAGAGAGAGAGAGAGAGAGAGAGAGAGAGAGAGAGAAGAGAGAGAGAGAGAGAGAGAGAGAGAGAGAGAGATGAGGAGAGAGAGAGAGGGACCAGAGACCAAGAGAGAGACCAAGAGAGTGACCAGGATAAAGACAGGGAGACCAGAGACCAAGAGAGAGACAAAGAGAGTGACCAGGACAGAAACACAGACAGGGAGACCAGAGACCAAGAGAGAGACAAAGAGAGTGACCAGGACAGAAACACAGACAGGGAGACCAGAGACCAAGAGAGCGACAAAGAGAGTGACCAGGATAGAAACCCAGACAGGGAGAGAGAGTGAGAACGAGGGACAGAGAGGGCAAGAGGGATAGGACACAAAGCTTTTCAAACAGTAATGCCAACCCTCTCCAAACTACCACCATGGAGGCTCCAGAGGGTCAGGGGAGACTGCAGAGCGGACTACCCTCACCTGGACGCCCCCATGCCAGCTACCAACGATCTGGCACAACCTCCATCTCTCCTGCCTTACTCCTCCCGTCTATCCGAATCAGAACTTCCACTCTGTCGTCAAGGAGACCGTCGCCGGCAGGTACTGGCATTACGGAAACGCGACGTGGCATGCACGCCGTTAGACAGCCAGGTGCATTCCGGGGTGAGCCAGGATCAGGGATGAGGATTGGCCGATCATCTCCGAGAGGAAGGACTCGGACACGCCTCCTCTCCAACAGCAGCTTAGATCTGGGAGAGGAAGAGGAGGAGGAGGAAGAGGAGGAGGAGGAGGAGGAGGAGGAGGAAGAGGAAGAGGAAGAGGAAGAGGATGATGATGATGATGAGGAGGATGAGGATGAGGAGGAGGAGGAGGAGGAGGAAGAAGAGCCAGAGGGTAGTGGTTTGCTGGGGGTGGTGACTCAGACCCTAACTCCTGCTCTTCCCTCGTCCCCTGCTCCTTCAGCGATGGATAGGAGGATGAGTAAAAGAGAGAGGAACAGGGTGAGGAGGCAGAGGAGGAGGCAGAGGAGGAGAGAGCGATGGAGACAGAGCCAGCAGGACAATACACAGGTGAGACCGTATGCCCTTATCTAGTGGTGGCTAAAGTTAGCTAAAGTTATTACCGGCTGCTTAAAGAATACCAAACAATGGATTACAGTTTATTTTGATCCGTAGACTACTTTCAGGCTGAGGAACCATCTAACACAACGTTGTAAAATACTGAACTTCCCCTTTAATGTCAGATACTGTAGGTATCTGATCCTTTGTCTGATTACAGTCTGAAGCCATCACTCTGTTGGCCTCGCTTCCTGAAAGCATGATCAGCTGTATAGAACGGAATCTTCTGATGCATTTTAATACAAAGGCCATTAAAACCTCTCACACAAGCTTGAGTTTCCTTTATTGATCCAACTAAGAGCCCATTATCATTAGTATTTTTTGAAAGCCTTTAACTCTACCACAACAGTGTATCATTCACACAAATACCAAGCAGTGCACTGTGTGCTCTCTGCTGTGTGTGTTACAGCTTGTATGTGTGTGTGTTTCTGCACACTGTAGCATGTGTATACTATACCATATGTAAAATGGATCAGTTCTGTGCCAGACAGACAATGTCTCTCAATAGACTAGGTTACAGTGTGTTGCTTTAGCCAACGGGTCACTGTGCCAAACCAGATATGTCAAGGACAGAGCTTTGTTGTATATTCAGTGACTTGGTGGGCTGATGACTGACTTTACAGGCCCATCAATGTCAGTGTGTGTGTGTGTGTGTGTGTGTGTGTGTGTGTGTGTCTGTGAGTGTGGGTGTCCCGCTGACTATCGACAAGCCCCACCAGCTTGTCTCAATAGCCATTGTCTGTGCAGTTAAGGTGGGGTTATATCTGAATGGGCTGCATGATGAGGCTTGGGCAGAGAGCCCTTCAAAACCACCCAAACAAAAGAACAGATTCCAGTCTGATTGGTCGATGCAGATCCACAGGCACATTGCTGGACTGGAATGATTGTGACTGGCTGTTGTTTAGTTTCTGCCATCATTCTCTGTGGACATGATGGCAATTAGCATACCGTATGTAGAAGCTGCCATACACATTACACAACATACAATGTGCTCCTAGCCGATATCATTGTGGCCATATGATTATCAGATTGGTTTTGTGAATTGTTATGAATAACTTGCTGTGGCAATGGATGGAGTTAAGTAGTTGGCTAGATGACTACTTGGAAGATGCCAATTTAAATGCTGTGTGTGTAAATGAAGTGGTTGGCTAAATAAAATAAATAACTGTGAACAGAATATAGTGTGGCCAGTGGTGGAAAAAGTACCCAATTTTCATACTTGAGTAAAAGTAAAGATACCTTAATAGAAAATGACAAGTAAAAGTGAGTCACCCAGTAAAATACTACTTGAGTAAAAGTCTAAAAGTATTTGATTTTAAATATACTTAAGTTTCAAAAGTAAATGTAATTGCTAAAATATACGTAAATATCAAAAGTAAACGTAAAAGTATAAATAATTTCAAATTCCTTATATAAAGCAAACCAGATGGCATCATTTACTTGTTATTTATTTATTTATTTACGGATAGCCAGGGGCATGCTCCAACACTCAGGCATCATTTACTATCGAAGCATGTGTTTAGTGAGACCGCCAGATCAGAGGCAGTAGGGATGACCAGGGACGTTCTCTTAATAAGTGTATGAATTAGACAATTTTCCTGTCCTACTAAGCATTCAAAATGTAACGGTTACTTTTGGGTGTCAGGGAAAATGTATGGAGTAAAAAGTACATTATTTTCTTTAGGAATGTAGTGAAGTAATAGTAAAAGTTGTCAAAAATAGAAATAGTAAAGTAAAGTACAGATACCCAAAAAAACTACTTAAGTAGTACTTTCAAGTATTTTTACTTAAGTACTTTACACCACTGAGTGTGGCAATACGGGTACTAGTTTTGAGTACCAGGCTGTTCCTGCTTCTGTATACAGTGTTGCCTTGCCTTGTTTTGTAAGACACTGACAAGTTTGCTAAAAACAGAGAAGGACTGACCCACACTCTGATACAGATCAGTACTCTCAGACTGTGTGTATTGTCCTGTAGCCAGATTCTCTCTGTGTACATCATGGGACCATGTGCCTTTGGTCCCGTTTCAGATTCATATTTTGAGATTCATGTAATGTAAGCACATTTCAGGCATGGTTTGTTCCTGCTTTTTCAGTCTCTGCACTACAGGAAGTGTTCTGTTCCTGTGCAGCCCAGGGACAGAGGAGTCTGGGCTGTGTTAGAGCAGTGTTCTTTAATATCTAGTGGGGACCCACAGCTAACACACCTGCTTCAACTCATCATTAGGTGTGTTAGTATTGGGATGAAACGAAAGCCTGAATACACCGTGGGACCACAGGGTCAGGGTTTAAGAACACTGAATTAACAACACACTGTATCCGTGGCTACTATACACCGTGAGTCCACAGGGTCAGGGTTTAAGAACACTGAATTAAGAACACACTGTATCCGTGGCTACTATACACCGTGAGTCCACAGGGTCAGGGTTTAAGAACACGCTGTATCCGTGGCTACTATTTGGTGTTGTTCTGGCTGTGTCTTCGGGAGTGCTGGCTGGACTGTGTTTTTCTGCTCAGCTTGGGGACAGCTGCTTCCAACGCTGTGTGTGTGTGTGTGTGTGTGTGTGTGTGTGTGTGTGTGTGTGTGTGTGTGTGTGTGTGTGTGTGTGTGATTAGAGGACTGTTCAGTGGTAGGTGTTGTGTTCTGTGACAATGACACACTTTTGAGAGGCGGCTGCACGGTAGCAGTGAAATCACTAGAGTTCCCCCTGGGTGTGATAATGGTAATTACGATGGGAGGACCTCCAGGCTCCTGTAGGCTACAAACATACCAAACCCCATGAGTAAAGAAGCGGTAGGGATGGGAGCCCTGAGAGGGAGTAGGATGAAGATGCCCCCAGATGCTGATCCAGACTCTAGCCTTTCCCCCACTAATGATGTAGGTTAGGATTGGAAGAGGGTACGCGGATCCTAGATCTGTGTCGGGCAAGTTTCAGTCCCTGATAGGGTTCAGTGAGTCGACTGTGGAGCCACATCAAGTAGCCTTCCTTACAGCTGTAGTCTCTCTCTCTCTCTCTCAGATAATTCTCTAGAGGAAGTAGAGAGAGAAGAGAGAGAGAGGAGGAGAGAGAGAGAGGAGAGAGAGAAGGGAGGAGAGGAGGAAGATGCGAGAGAGAGAAGGGAAGATGAGAGAGAGAGAGACGAGGAGAGAGAGAAGAGAGAGAGTAGAGTAGAGAGAGAGGGAGAAGAGACGAGAGAGAATGCAGAGAGAGTAGAGGAGCTACAGAGAGAAAGAGAGAAGCCAGGAGAGAAGAGAGAAGAGAGAGAGAGAGAGAGAGAGCGAGAGAGTAGGAGAGAAGAGAGAGAGCAGAGTAGAGAGAGGAGAGATGAGAGAGAGAGAGAGAGAGAGAGACAGCGAGAGCAGAGAGAGGAGAGAGAGAGAGAGAAGAGAGGAGAGAGAGAGAGAGAGAGAGAGAAGGAAGAGAGAAGGAGCGAGAAAGGGAGGGAGGAGAGAGAGAGAGAAGAGAAACGGAGAGGAGACGATGAGAGAAGAGGAGTTAGACGAAAGAAAAGATGGCAGAGTAGATAGGCGAGAGAAGAACAGAGAGCTCAGTCAACTACCGACGGTAGAAAGCAGCTATCGAGAGTGACGGCATCGAATAGCGGAGATAGGCGAAGAGCGAGACTAGACGATGCTGAGAGGATCGAGTCTCTCTCTAGTTCTCTATCTCTCTCTCCTTCTCTCTCTCTCTTCTCTCTCCTCTCTATCTCTCTCTCTCTCTCTCTTCTCTGTCTTTCTCTCTCTCACACAAAAAGAAAGAGTACTTCCTGGTAACAATAAGGTAGAATAGATACATTTTTAAAAAAAATACAGTGTGCTTGAGGTGTGCATTAATGGGTTTTTATCAGTGTTGTGTGTTCCCCTAGAGTGTCTGAAGAACTGGGCTGTCTGCTTCCTATTTTCTGCTGTGCTTCATCTGCCAAATATCTCACATCTCAGGCGCACCACTGTAGACATACCCCCGAGCAAAATAGTTGTATGTCTGCTGCCCCAGTTCAAACTTCAGTTGTGTGCCAGCCTTACAGATGTAGGATCTTAATGTGATCACTCTTTTGTTACAAACTTGTAGTTAATTCAAGGTTTAAAAACCCCTAGTATATTGACGCACTGGTACATCAATCTAAGTAACATAATACAAAAATCCCCATCAACATCCGTCGTTTTTAAGCTAGAGATTCGTTTTTTTGCATGGGCTGCGTCTCAATCCACCGCATCCGCCTATTGCGGCCTTCCGCATCTCTGGTGGAAGGTGGCCGAGCTACAGCGGTGTTTGTCAGACCATGAGACGTCTTCTCACAAAAACGTCTGTAGTGTTCGAACGGTTTGGCCTACAAAACTATTATGACTCTCACAAATATGATAGTGTTCTCCATTTTGCTTTACGACCCCCACAAGTGTCACGGGACTCGCCTGAAGTTGGTAACGATGATGTGCCAACTTCTGTTTGTAGCGTCCGATCCATTTGGGCTACAATCTAATGTGACCCCACAGTGGAAAGGGGAGGTTCTCACGAACACAATGGTGTTCTCCGTGGTGTTCTCTACGACCCTCACAAGTGTCACAGGACTTGTCTGAAGGTAACCGGTGCGTACCGGTTTAAAACATTTATGGAAGTATGGACGTAGTTTTGTGCCTGATTTCACCATTGTATTTCATATCTACCAAACCCTCAACTCACCTGCCTTAATCAGGTCTGCACCAGTACACCTGTCCACACATCAAATAGAGCTTCATGAAATATAATATCAGGGGAATAGAACACGTTATAGACAAATACACAGTCACTGGAAATCATGTAGAGTTTGTTTGGTACAGTGCCTTGCAAAAGTATTCATCCCCCTTGGCGTTTTTCCTATTTGTTGCATTACAACCTGTAATGGATTGTTATTTGGATTTCATGTAATGGACATACACAAAATAGTCCAAATTGGTGAGAAAAAAAAAACCTGCCAAGAGAGGGCCGCCCACCAAAACACACGGACCAGGCAAGGAGGGAATTAATCAGAGGCAACAAAGAGACCAAAGATAACCCTGAAGGCGCTGCAATGCTCCACAGTGGAGATTGGAGTATCTGTCCATAGGACCACTTTAAGCCGTCCACTCCACAGAGCTGGGCTTTATGGAAGAGTGGCCAGAAAAAAGACATTGCTTAAAGAAAAAAATATGCAAACACATTTGGTGTTCGCCAAAAGGCATGTGGGAGACTCACTAAACATATGGAAGAAGGTACTCTGGTCAGATGAGACTAAAATTGAGCTTTTTGGCCATCAAGGAAAACGCTATGTCTGGCGCAAACCCAACACCTCTCATCACCCTGAGAACACCATCCCCACACTGAAGCATGGTGGTGGCAGCATCATGCTGTGGGGGTGTTTTTAATCAGCAGGGACTGGGAAACTGGTCAGAATTGAAGGAATGATGGATGGCGCTAAAACAGGGAAATTCTTGAGGGAAACCTGTTTCGGTCTTCCAGAGATTTGAGACTGGGACGGAGGTTCACCTTCTAGCAGGATCAAATGATACAACCCCCCAAAAAATCATGTTTAATTCCAGGTTGTAAGGCAACAAAATAGGAAAAATGCCAAGGAGGGTGAATACTTTCGCAAGCCACTGTAAGCAGCTGTCAAATAAAAAAAGGTGCTATATAGAACCTAAAAGGGTTCTTCAAAGGGTTTTCCAATGGGGACAACTGAAGAACCCTTTTAGGTTCTATATAGCACCTTTTTTTATTTGACAGCTGCTTACAGTGGCTTGCGAAAGTATTCACCCTCCTTGGCATCTTTTGGGTTCCATGTAGAAACCTTTCCACTGAGAGTTCTACATGGAACCCAAAAGGGTTCTACCTGGAACCAAAAAGGATTCTCCTATGGGGACAGCTGAAGAACTAACCCCTTTGGAACCCTTTTTTCTAAGAGTAGAGGTCAAAGTTTATATTAACATGGCAGGGTGTTTCTCTCAGCCTTCAGGAGTACAACTCATCAGCATCTACTTGAATATTTTTGTCAACCTGACCTTGACCTTGAATTTAACCTTGGTCTTGAGTGGGTTGTGTTATGTTATTCAACCATTTTATGTCCTAGACTTCCACAGGGAACCCAACTGATCTGATTATCTGTTTTGTCCTGTTCTTTTGAAATAACAGTACAATGATACAACCCTCATGTTCTGTGTCCCAGAATTCAACAGGGAACCCATCGAGCAGCAGTGAGGAAGAGGATGTGAGTGCTGGGGACAGAGAGGGCTTCATCTGTGCTGTGTGTCTGGACATTTACTTCAGCCCTTACATGTGCCACCCCTGTAACCACATCTTCTGTGAGCCCTGCCTCCGTACCCTGGCCAAGAACAGCCCGACCAACACCCCCTGCCCACTCTGCAGGACCGCCATCACCCACGTCTTCTTCCAGAAGGGTGAGCACATTATCCAAACACTTTTCTCCTTGTCTCTCTCATGACCACTGCTCTATAAAAGACTGCAGTTAGTAGACCCATGGTGGAACCATCTAGCAGGCACGTGAACAGATAGGGGTCTACCTGTGCCAGAGAATCGGCTCCTTTGCACTCGTCAAGTGCCCTTTTGGGTGGTGTTATATATACAGTGAGGGAAAAAAGTATTTGACCCCCTGCTGATTTTGTACGTTTGCCCACTGACAAAGACATGATCAGTCTATAATTTTATTGGTAGGTTTATTTGAACAGCGAGAGACAGAATAACAACAACAAAAATGTATTTGCATTTTAATGAGGGAAATAAGTATTTGACCCCTCTGCAAAACATGACTTCGTACTTGGTGGCAAAAGCCTTGTTGGCAATCACAGAGGTCAGACGTTTCTTGTAGTTGGCCACCAGGTTTGCACACATCTCAGGAGGGATTTTGTTCCACTCCTCTTTGCAGATCTTCTCCAAGTCATTAAGGTTTCGAGGCTGTCGTTTGGCAACTCAAACCTTCAGCTCCCTCCACAGATTTTCTATGGGATTAAGGTCTGGAGACTGGCTAGGCCACTCCAGGACCTTAATGTGCTTCTTCTTGAGCCACTCCATTGTTGCCTTGGCCATGTGTTTTGGGTCATTGTCATGCTAGAAAACCCATCCACGACCCATTTTCAATGCCCTGGCTGAGGGAAGGAGGTTCTCACCCAAGATTTGACGGTACATCCGTCCATCGTCCCTTTGATGCAGTGAAGTTGTCCTGTCCCCTTAGCAGAAAATCACCCCCAAAGCATAATGTTTCCACCTCCATGTTTGACGGTGGGGATGGTGTTCTTGGGGTCATAGGCAGCATTCCTCCTCCTTTAAACACGGCGAGTTGAGTTGATGCCAAAGAGCTCGATTTTGGTCTCATCTGACCACAACACTTTCACCCAGTTCTCCTCTGAATCATTCAGATGTTCATTGGCAAACTTCAGACGGCCCTGTATATGTGCTTTCTTGAGCAGGGGGACCTTGCGGGTGCTGCAGGATTTCAGTCCCTCACGGCGTAGTGTGTTACCAATTGTCTTCCTGTTGACTATGGTCCCAGCTGCCTTGAGATCATTGACAAGATCCTCCCGTGTAGTTCTGGGCTGATTCCTCACCGTTCTCATGATCATTGCAACTCCACGAGGTGAGATCTTGCATGGAGCCCCAGGCCGAGGGAGATTGACAGTTCTTTTGTGTTTCTTCCATTTGCAAATAATTGCACCAACTGTTGTCACCTTCTCACCAAGCTGCTTGGCGATGGTCTTGTAGCCCATTCCAGCCTTGTGTAGGTCTACAATATTGTCCCTGACATTTGGTCTTGGTCATGGTGGAGAGTTTGGAATCTAATTGATTGATTGCTTCTGTGGACAGGTGTCTTTTATACAGGTAACACACTGAGATTAGGAGCACTCCCTTTAAGAGTGTGCTCCTAATCTCAGCTCGTTACCTGTATAAAAGACACCTGGGAGCCAGAAATCTTTCTGATTGAGAGGGGGTCAAATACTTGTTTCCCTCATTAAAATGCTAATCAACTTATAACATTTTTGACATGCGTTTTGCTGGATGTTTTTGTTGTTATTCTGTCTCTCACTGTTCAAATAAACCTACCATTCAAATTATAGACTGATCATTTCTTTGTCAGTGGGCAAACGTACAAAATCAGCAGGGGATCATATACTTTTTTCCCTCACTGTGTATATATACAGTTGAAGTCGGAAGTTTACATACACTTAGGTTGGAGTCATTACAACTCGTTTTTCAACCACTCCACAAATTTCTTTTTAACAAACTATAGTTTTGACAAGTCGGTTAGGACATCTACTTTGTGCATGACACAAGTAATTTTTCAACCAATTGTTTACAGACAGATTATTTCACTTATAATTCACTGTATCACAATTCCAGTGGGTCAGAATTTTACATACACTAAGTTGACTGTGCCTTTAAACAGCTTGGAAAATTCCAGAAAATGATATAATGGCTTTAGAAGCTTCTGATAGGCTAATTGACATCATTTGAGTCAATTGGAGGTGTACCTGTGGATGTATTTCAAGGCCTACCTTCAAACTCAGTGCCTCTTTGCTTGACATCATGGGAAAAAAGTTGTAGACCTCCACAAGTCTGGTTCATCCTTGGGAGTAATTTCCAAACGCCTGAAGGTACCACGTTCATCTGTACAAACAACAGTACGCAAGTATAAACACACAGCCGTCATACCGCTCAGGAAGGAGACGCGTTCTGTCTCTTAGAGATGAACGTACTTTGGTGCGAAAAGTGCAAATCAATCCCAGAACATCAGCAAAGGACCTTGTGAAGATGCTGGAGGAAACAGGTACAAAAGTATCTATATCCACTTTAAAATGAGTCCTATATCGACATAACCTGAAAGGCCGCTCAGCAAGGAAGAAGCCACTGCTTCAAAACCGCCATAAAAAAGCCAGACTACTGTTTGCAACTGCACAAAGATCTTACTTTTTCGAGAATGGCCATAATGACCATCGTTATGTTTGGAGGAAAAAGGGAGATGCTTGCAAGCCGAAGAACACCATCCCAACCGTGAAGCACGGTGGTGGCAGCATCATGCTGTGGGGGTGCTTTGCTGCAGGAGGGACTGGTGCACTTCAAAAAATAGATGGCATCATGAAGAAGGGAAATTATGTGGATATATTGAAGCAACATCTCAAGACATCAGTCAGGAAGTTAAAGCTTGGTCGCAAATGGGTCTTCCAAATGGACAATGACCCCAAGCATACTTCCAAAGTTGTGGCAAAATGGCTTAAGGACAACAAAGTCAAGGTATTGGAGTGGCCGTCACAAAGCCCTGACCTCAATCCTATAGAAAATGTGTGGGCAGAACTGAAAAGGCGTGTGTGAGCAAAGAGGCCTACAAACCTGACTCAGTTACACCAGCTCTGTCAGGAGGAATGGGCCAAAATTCACCCAACTTATTGTGGGAAGCTTGTGGAAGGCTACCCGAAACGAGTCCTCCAGGGAGTATTACACACCTTGGGTCTAGCAGATGAGTCATTCAGACCAATGAGAGAAAATACAACTGAGCCTTCTATTTACACATTAATATGATGGAGGGCTATGGACTGAATAAAGGCAGGTTTCAAAATGGGTCAAATCTGCCCCAGCTAAGCTTATGTAGCCTGGGCCTTTCTTGCTTCCTTTGCCCTACCTACGTTAACATGGGTTACAAATATAAACTATTCGTTTTTGCACACTGATTACAGATGCGTCGTGTTAGGTGATTGAATGCAGGTGATTTGTGTGCTGAGGGCTAACACCACAGAAAGCAGAGAGGATGTACTGGTGAGAACCTCATAGACATTAAGGGTGCTTGACAATGATTGGACAGCATGGTTTGTAGATGAGATTATTTTGCTGATTATCCAGGCCAAGGTCACAATGGGGACAACCGTAGCTTTCTGAGAGGAGAGACAGAGGGAGACTGAGCACCTTGATCTACTTCAAATCAAACACTTATTTTGTCTCCAAATAAATGTTGATTCCTGTGTGTTTCACACAAGAATACAAAAGTGCAAACATCTAACCAGAATCTACCCAAATAGTTTTAAGATAAACTGTGATAGTGTTTGATGCTAAAACAATCAGATAGTAAACAAGGAAGGGCCTTTTATTGTTCTGTGTCTGTGTTGCAGAGTTGAACCACACAGCACGGTCATTCTTCCCAAAAGAATACCTCTCACGGAAACAGACTTTCCAGAAGGCAAGCTGTGCAAAATGGCCGCTCCCAAGCTGCAGGAAACTTTTCCGTATTTTTGGAAGTGAGTGTTATTAACTTTCTATAGAGATGATTGAGAAAACATCATGGTTATGTTTGATTTTACAGTCAAAAATTAAACTTGGTATCGAAATAGAGATGACCATATGGTAATGTATTTATTTATTACCATTATGCTATGATTGCATCATTATTATTTATCACTTACTGTACACTTTGTATTCCAAGATTAACGTACATGCAGATTTATTTGGATAGTCCATCTGTAGATTCTCTACAGACTATCAGTAACATTTCAACTAACTATCTACATTTTTACATTTTAGTCAATTAGCAGACGCTCTTATCCAGAGCGACTTAGAGTAGTGAGTGCATACATTTTAATAATTGTTTTCATACTGGTCCCCCGTGGGAATCAAACCCACAGCAATGCTCTACCAACTGAGCTACACAGGACTGAGCTACTAATCCTAGCTCTAACCCTAACCTTAACCCTTATCCTAACCCTGAACTTAACCCTTACTCCAACCCTAAACCTAATCCTAACCTTAGCAAGCAGTTGCTTATCAACAGATAGTTTGTTGATAGTATGAACATCCGGACTATCCAAATAAAGTGTGACCAAAAGTTGGAATAACCTGATTTTTTCCTGTCATTCCAACCCTTCTCCAGGTTTCCAAAGGCAAACTAGTCCGATAGCCAGGCGTCAGTTCCCCCATGGGGGGTATCGTCTGGACACCATGGACTTTGAGGACGATTCTCGTGGCTGGCGTTTCGACATGGACATGATCATTATCTATATCTACTCTGTCAACTGGGTCATCGGCTTCATCATCTTCTGCTTTCTCTGCTACGTCTTCTTCCCTGCCTTCTAAAGACGGATGGATAGGTGGGTGGATGGATGGAGAGAGGAAGGGAGGAGGTTAAAGGAGGAGAGGAGGCAGAGTCATTTACAGACAAATTGGAGATGTGCTTGGTAGAAGACAACCAACAGTGTTCCAGCTGATCCCTATTGAATTGAGGAAACACGGTACCATATATGGGGCATTGGGGAATCACATGATCTGTACACAGTCTACCTATAATATCATGAAGGCAATGCTTCAAGTTGTATGGAAATAAGCAACAACAAAAACGTACCTGGATTGATTCTAAGTCTTTTTTATGATTGGCAATAGCAATTATTTGTAAGCCTCCTTCACTCTTGCCAGAAGTAGAAATCTGCTCATGCCTTTCTAACGGTTTGTTTCACTGATATGTACAGAAAACTGTTACATACAAGTATTATTTTATTTAAAAAATATATATAATTCTGCGTTTCCTCTACTCCATTTAGAAAATGGGTTGCTCAGCATTGTGGATTCAATTCATTCACTTCTGCTCTAAATGGCTCTCATGGTCATGATGTAATTTCTTCTGTTTATTTCCGGCATCAGAGCACTCCTTGGGTCTGTAGTCATTCCAATTCAAAGTATTCACAGTGGCATTGCTTGAAATCAGCTATTGTGCTGTTAAGAGTATTGTACAATTGATTTGTACAATTCCTGACAGTAATAAAGTCATTATACCGAACCACATGGTTTTCCTGGGTTTCAGAGTCACAGAGTCCCTAAATATAAAGAGGAACGAGGGCTCGACATTAACGCTTGTCCTCTTGTCCGGGACAAGTAACAAAAAATTGTCTGACAAGAATATAGATTGAAGTTGTCCGAATAGACAAGTAAATGTTTTTATATATAACAATATCAAACAATTACGCTGATAAGATTTGGATCAGAGAGGCCAACATTGGAATAATATTCAAATAAATGTTTCATGTACATAAATAAAAAAGCCTACATGTCAAAGTGTAGACGATATGCATATTGGCTAGGGCCTCATGTCCAAATGCCAGAAAATGAAGCCAAACTTTAATGATACATAAATATAGTCTAAAGGCCAGTCATGTTTGACAAAGATAATGAAGGATAATTAACATTAACGTCTAAAGGCTTGATTCTGTCGACATACTCGAGGCACGGTTCCTTCAGATCAAATGGTCACAAGACCAGAGAGTGAAGGACATTGCATGTTGCACACCGCACATCACCCACCTTGAATCTGAGCAGAGGCGGTCAGCATTTTGAAACTATTTAACCATAAACTTGATTATTTTAAACCTGGATGTTTTATGTCATTTTGTCAAGCATGTCTTACCTTGTTTCAAATTAACCTAGCCTAGCCAAAATATGAACACAGAAATGTTGATGCAATTATTTTATTTAGAAACACTTAATATGGTGTTACAGATGTATTTATATTTTTGGACAAGTGATTTGAGCTTTTGGACAAGTATAAAATCTGTCCTACTTGTCCAAAGGACAAGTGGCAAAAAAAGTGAATGTCAAGCCCTGGAGCATGACCAAAAAGTCCCCAAACCGTATAGGCCACACAATACTTCACATTATCATCCGTTACAGCAGCGTTCTTTCAACTGTAGAAACAGGGAATCACTGATTCATTCACCCAACACTGTGATGTTGTCAAGATGTCATTTGCTATGAAGAACATTGGCCTTGCACATTGACTGAGACTATCTCATTTTAAAGGATAACATACAGTCAGGGGTTGTTATAAACACAAAAACAAAGTGGTGGGTTTTTTCAATTAATTTCCTTTTTACTGTAATGTTGTCATGAACACAGGTAGACTATCCCTCTTCCTCCTCCATTCAAATCATGATACATCACCACCATCTATGCTACAAATGGATCATTCAAAAATAAATACATTTTCTGTAATATATTCGTTTTTGATATTCAACTGTATTTACGAAAGAGAAAAAAAATGAGTAATTTTGAGTCATCAATAAATTGTATTTACAACTTCAAGGACTGCTTGCTCCTGGATTCCTTCAACAGTAACACAAATAATGGATTATGTCATCTCATGTTGCTGTCTGAGCGTTCATTGACAGTCCACCTGAGATGTGAAAGACTTGATGTAATGTCCCCTGGCTTACACTGTGACTATGGAGTCCTGGCTGAGGAACAGCCCTGCCCACTGTTAGCCTTCTGTTTCTGATTGGCCCTCAGGGTGGACATGGAATATCCTGCCCACTACTCCGGGCACCACAGCCACTCCCACCTCCTCCCTCCAGATTCTCACTCTTGGATCTCTCAATGGCTGCAGAAACACCATTAATACACGCTCCAGGTTAGCTCTCATTCACAGATGTGATCAGCACAACAATGAAAACCAGCTCTTGCTTGAATAAGAGATTCCTTATCTGAATGAATGAATTAATTAATTAATGAGGCAGCTGTGTTCACCAGACACAGAGGGGCTGCTGGACACCTTGATGAGGCCCATCCTGTGGCCAGACATGCACCTCTTCATGCCCAGACTCAAAGTGGTTGATGAGGATGGTCGACAGGATCTGAGCGTTCTCTATGTCGTTCCTATGAGGACAGCTACTGAACATGGTGTAGCCATCTTTGCCCTGAAGACAAAACAAGAGAGGATAAAAAGGAGAATATTGTCAATGTTTCCTTTGCTCTGAAGCCAACATGGCTGCTTACTATACTGCTGTGAGGAGACAGTTTTACCTGTCCACTTAATAACAATGCATCCTCCGCCGCTAACTAATGGATGACTTTACTTGTTCTATATAACGTAGAGAAAGTGTACAATGCTATAGCAGTGGCTGTGTGCTAATATGAACCTGAAGACTATACCCTACCTTTGTTAAGAATTATTTCATGGCCACTGCATACTTTCTGTCTCTATCTAGACTCTTGCCTTGAACCTTCACTGTCTTAGCGATGACTCTGTGGCCAGGTTTTTCATTGGGATCAAAGCCAATCTGGATCCCTGAAACCTGGGGAAATCTGAAAAATGCACCTTGTGTCAAAAACCGTTCTGATTGCTTTTCATGTGAGAACAAAGAAGTAACTACAATAAAACCAGTTCACTCATAATGTGGTTTTGGTGCCTTTTCAATGTGTTCCAGTGCGGTACCTTCCATCTAAATCAGGTTCTCGTAGAGCTGCTGCCCCGTGGCCTCCACCACCAGCACTGGGTCTTTTAGGGGCAGGATCTGCAGCAGGTCATGCATGGTCATGGGATCCGCTGGGTGCAAGCAGTCAGAACGCAGAGTACCTATACAGGGACAGAGTCATGGTTCAACAGACAGACCTGGGTGCCAAAAGTTTTCAGAATTGAACAACTCTGCAGTATTTTTTAAAAATTCTGAAATCAAATATGGAGGTAATATTTCATAAATAAACCTCAACTATGCTTATGACTGAAACAAAAAATAAATGGAAGGTGTAATAACCTGAGTTTAAAATCGTTACCTTAGCATGAGTGGCCTCCAGCATGGCGTTGGTGATCAGATTACTCAGGTTGCACTCTGCTCGTCTCACGGTGGAGCAGCGTCCATCCAGGGTCACGCCTGTGTGGCACAGGACCTCTCCAAGCATATGCTGAGACAGAGTGGCATAAATTCGTAAAACATCATCTTAGTGGCATCTGGGCTGGCTAATAACACAGACACACACTAGACTACTGTAAGCTAATCAAGCTGCAACGACTGATACTCACCTGCATATTATCAGCGTATCCTTTCATAATCTGTTTGATTTCCGCATCTTCCTCAAGGTCTCTCATTGTAGCTTTCTTTTCACAGGTGTACTTGAACGTCCCATCCTGGCGACATTGACATTGACATTGGCGCCGGAGAAGATGGCTGCCATTTTACAGCCCTCTAACCAATTGTACTAGTATGTGTGTTTTTCCGAGTTATTTGTAATTTATTTTGTACATAATGTTTCTGCCATCGTCTCTTATAACCAAAAAGAGCTTCTGGATATCAGGACAGCGATTACTCATTCCACGTATTGGACGAAGAATTTTTCTTCAACGAGGCGGCCGCGAAGAATATCCTACAGACACCCGACAAGGCCCAAATCCCCGTCATTTGCATGAGGAAGAGACGGAGATATCGTGGACGTAGGTCGGGGTGCCTTGTAAGGATCTGACGGCGAGCAAGTAAACTGCCGCTCCCATCAATCCTATTAGCCAATCTTCAATCATTGGAAAATAAATTGGATGACCTAAGATTACGGTTATCCTACCAACGGGACATTAAAAACTGTAATATCTTATGTTTCACCAAGTCGTGGCTGAACGACGACATGGATAACATACAGCTAGCGGGCTATACGCTACATCGGCAGGATAGAACGGCTGACTCCGGTAAGACAAGGGGTGGCGGTCTGTGTATATTTGTAAACAACAGCTGGTGCACAAAATCAAATACTAAGGAAGTCTCAAGGTTTTGCTCGACTGAGGTAGAGTATCTTATGATAAGCTGTAGACCACACTATTTACCAAGAGAGTTTTCATCTATATTTTTCATAGCTGTCTATTTACCACCACAAACCAATGCTGGCATTAAGATTGCACTGAATGAGCTGTATAAGGCCATAAGTCAACAGGAAAACGCTCATCCAGAGGCAGCTCCTAGTGGCCGGGGACTTTAATGCAGGGAAACTTAAATCCGTTCTACCTAATTTCTACCAGCATGTTAAATGTGCAACCAGAGGAAAAAAAAACTATAGACCACCTTTACTCCACACACAGAGACGCATACAAAGCTCTCCCTTGCCCTCCATTTGGCAAATCTGACCATAACTCTATCCTCCTGATTCCTGCTTATAAGCAAAAACTAAAGCAGGAAGCACCAGTGACTCGGTTAATAAAAAAGTGGTCAGATGACGCAGATGCTAAGCTACAGGCCTGTTTTGCTAGCACAGACTGGAACATGTTCCGGGATTCTTCAGATAGCATTGAGGAGTACACCACATCAGTCACTGGCTTCATCAATAAGTGCATCGATGATGTCGTCCCCATAGTGACCGTACGTACAGTGGGGGAAAAAAGTATTTAGTCAGCCACCAATTGTGCAAGTTCTCCCACTTAAAAATATGAGAGAGGCCTGTAATTTTCATCATAGGTGCATGTCAACTATGACAGACAAATTGAGAATTTTTTTCTCCAGAAAATCACATTGTAGGATTTTTTATGAATTTATTTGCAAATTATGGTGGAAAATAAGTATTTGGTCACCTACAAACAAGCAAGATACTGAGTGGCGCAGTGGTCTAAGGCACTGCATCGCAGTGCTAACTGTGCCACTAGAGATCCTGGTTCGAATCCAGGCTCTGTCGCAGCCGGCCGCGACCGGGAGACTCAGGGGCGGCGCACAATTGGCCCAGCGTCGTCCAGGGTAGGGGAGGGAATGGCCGGCAGGGATGTAGCTCAGTTGATAGAGCATGGCGTTTGCAACGCCAGGGTTGTGGGTTCGATTCCCACGGGGGGCCAGTATAAAAAAACATGTATTCACTAACTGTAAGTCGCTCTGGATAAGAGCGTCTGCTAAATGACTAAAATGTAAATGTAAATGTAAGATTTCTGGCTCTCACAGACCTGTAACTTCTTCTTTAAGAGGCTCCTCTGTCCTCCACTCGTTACCTGTATTAATGGCACCTGTTTGAACTTGTTATCAGTATAAAAGACACCTGTCCACAACCTCAAACAGTCACACTCCAAACTCCACTATGGCCAAGACCAAAGAGCTGTCAAAGGACACCAGAAACAAAATTGTAGACCTGCACCAGGCTGGGAAGACTGAATCTGCAATAGGTAAGCAGCTTGGTTTGAAGAAATCAACTGTGGGAGCAATTATTAGGAAATGGAAGACATACAAGACCACTGATAATCTCCCTCGATCTGGGGCTCCACGCAAGATCTCACCCCGTGGGGTCAAAATGATCACAAGAACAGTGAGCAAAAATCCCAGAACCACACGGGGGGACCTAGTGAATGACCTGCAGAGAGCTGGGACCAAAGTAACAAAGCCTACCATCAGTAACACACTACGCCGCCAGGGCCTCAAATCCTGCAGTGCCAGACGTGTCCCCCTGCTTAAGCCAGTACATGTCCAGGCCCGTCTGAAGTTTGCTAGAGTGCATTTGGATGATCCAGAAGAGGATTGGGAGAATGTCATATGGTCAGATGAAACCAAAATATAACTTTTTGGTAAAAACTCAACTCGTCATGTTTGGAGGACAAAGAATGCTGAGTTGCATCCAAAGAACACCATACCTACTGTGAAGCATGGGGGTGGAAACATCATGCTTTGGGGCTGTTTTTCTGCAAAGGGACCAGGACGACTGATCCGTGTAAAGGAAAGAATGAATGGGGCCATGTATCGTGAGATTTTGAGTGAAAACCTCCTTCCATCAGCAAGGGCATTGAAGATGAAACGTGGCTGGGTCTTTCAGCATGACAATGATCCCAAACACACCGCCCGGGCAACGAAGGAGTGGCTTCGTAAGAAGCATTTCAAGGTCCTGGAGTGGCCTAGCCAGTCTCCAGATCTCAACCCCATAGAAAATCTTTGGAGGGAGTTGAAAGTCCGTGTTGCCCAGCGACAGCCCCAAAACATCACTGCTCTAGAGGAGATCTGCATGGAGGAATGGGCCAAAATACCAGCAACAGTGTGTGAAAACATTGTGAAGACTTACAGAAAACGTTTGACCTGTGTCATTGCCAACAAAGGGTATATAACAAAGTATTGAGAAACTTTTTTTATTGACCAAATACTTATTTTCCACCATAATTTGCAAATAAATTCATAAAAAATCCTACAATGTGATTTTCTGGATTTTTTTCCTCATTTTGTCTGTCATAGTTGACGTGTACCTATGATGAAAATTACAGGCCTCTCTCATCTTTTTAAGTGGGAGAACTTGCACAATTGGTGGCTGACTAAATACATTTTTTCCACACTGTACATACCCCAACCAGAAGCCATGGATTACAGGAAACATCCGCACTGAGCTAAAGGGTAGAGCTGCCGCTTTCAAGGAGTGGGACTCTAACCCGGACGCTTATAAGAAATCCCGCTATGCCCTCCGACGAACCATCAAACAGGCAAAGAGTCAATACAGGACTAAGATTGAATCGTACTACACCGGCTGTGACGCTCGTCGGATGTGGCAGGGCTTGAAAACTATTACAGACTACAAAGGGAAGCACAGCCGCAAGCTTCCCAGTGAAACAAGCCTACCAGATGAGCTAAACCACGTCTATGCTCGCTTCGAGGCAAGCAACACTGAAGCATGCATGAGAGCACCAGTGATCACGCTCTCTGTTGCCGATGTGAGTAAGACTTTTAAGCAGGTCCAGACGGATTACCAGGACGTGTACTCCGAGCATGTGCTGACCAACTGGCAAGTGTCTTCACTGACATTTTCAACATGTCCCTGACTGAGTCTGTAATACCAACATGTTTCAAGTAGACCACCATAGTCCCCGTGCCCAAGGACACTAAGATAACCTGCCTAAATGACTACCGACCCGTAGCACTGACGTCTGTAGCCATGAAGTGCTTTGAAAGGCTGGTCATGGCTCACATCAACACCATTATCCCAGAAACCCTAGACCCACTCTAATTTGCATACCGCCCCAACAGATCCACAGATGATGCAATCTCTATTGCACTCCACACTGCCCTTTCCCACCTGGACAAGAGGAATACCTACGTGAGAATGCTATTCATTTACTACAGCTCAGCATTCAACACCATAGTGCCCTCAAAGCTCATCACTAAGCTAAGGATCCTGGGACTAAACACCTCCCTCTGCAACTGGATCCTGGACTTCCTGACAGGCCGCCCCCAGGTGGTAAGGGTAAGTAACAACACATCTGCCACACTGATCCTCAACACGGGGGCCCCTCAGGGGTGTGTGCTCAGTCCCCTCCTGTACTCCCTGTTCACCCATGACTGCATGGCCAGTCATGGGTGACTCCAACACCATCATTAAGTTTGCCGACTACACAACAGTGGTAGGCCTGATCACCGACAACGATGAGACAGCCTATAGGGAGGAGGTCAGAGACCTGGCTGTGTGGTGCCAGGATAACAACCTCTCCCTCAATGTTACCAAGACAAAGGAGATGATTGTGGACTACAGGAAAAAAAAGAGGACTGAGCACGCCCCCATTCTCATCGACGGGGCTGTAGTGGAACAGGTTGAGAGCGTCAAGTTCCTTTGTGTCCACATCACCAACGAACTATCATGGTCCAAACACACCAAGACAGTCGTGAAGAGGGCACGACAAAGCCTATTCCTCATCAGGAGACTGAAAAGATTTGGCATGGGTCCTCAGATCCTCAAATAATTATACAGCTGCACCATCGAGAGCATCCTGACTGGTTGCATCACCGCCTGGTATGGCAACTGCTTGGCCTCCGACCGCAAGGCACTACAGAGGGTAGTGCGTACAGCCCAATACATCACTGGGGCCAAGCTTCCTGCCATCCAGGACCTCTATACCAGGTGGTGTCAGAGGAAGGCCCTCAAAATTGTCAAAGACTCCAGCCACCCTAGTCATAGACTGTTCTCTCTGCTACCGCACGGCAAGCGGTACCGGAGTGCCAAGTCTAGGTCCAAAATACTTCTCAACAGCTTCTACCCCCAAGCCATAAGACTCCTGAACAGCTAATCATGGCTACCCGGACTATTTGCACTGCCCCCCCACCCCATCTTTTTACGCTGCTGCTGCTCTGTTAATTATTTATGCATAGTCACTTTAACTATACCCACATGTACATATTACTTCAACTACCTCAACTAGCCGGTGCCCCCGCACATTGACTCTGCACCGGTACCCCCCTGTATATATAGCCTCCCTACTGTTATTTTATTTTACTTCTGCTCTTTTTTTCTCAACACTTTTTTGTTGTTGTTTTATTTTACTTTTTTATTAAAAATAAATGCACTGTTTGTTAAGGGCTGTAAGTAAGCATTTCACTGTAATGTCTGCACTTGTGGTATTCGGCGCATGTGGCCAATATAATTTGATTTGATTTGATTTTGATTTGGTCCTTCACAACATCAATCTTTGACAGGTACCTGAACTCTGAGCCGCTCTTTACGATCAGAATCCCATTGACCTCCAGAACCCTGAACCTACGGACTCGGATGCTAACCTGATCTCATTTTGTCACCTCGTGTGTGAGTGCAATGACCAGGTCAGCCCCTTTGTCCCTCAGCTCAGCAGACATGCGATCAGCTGTCTCCACATAGTCTATGTAGTGGATGTTATTCTTGTCCACAGTGCCCAGGGTATCCAGCCAATCCTCCTCTTCCAGGCCCATGACACCGATCTTCAGGCCGTTCCACTCCAGGATGCTGCTGACCATGCCATGGCCCAGCGTTTCATGGGTGAACCTTTGAGTGAACAATTTTATTTTTTATTTGTTCACATTGAAATAATACACTAGAAACAAAACAACATAGAACAAAAGTACTGTTGCTTCTCATTTTCCTGTGAACAAATAGTCATTTCGGTACAACAGAAGATTTATTGAAAATGTAGAAGTATAGTGCTCTGAACTGTGTTAACCCACCGTCATATAGTATTGCACGGTGAAACTGACCTGTAGTACACATTGCTGAGGAACCATGGGAAGGTCATATTTGTTGTCTGCTCTTCCAAGAGGTCCAAGCCAAAGTCAAACTCATGATTGCCTTAGAAGACAATGAAACTACATTTAGTTTCGAGGAATTTATGTGTGTGTGTGTGTGTGTGTGTGTGTGTGCCTGTGTGTGAGAGAAAGATAGATAGAGAGAGAAAGAGAAAGAGAAAGAGAGAGTTCCCTATGTGTATTGCACATGGATAAATGGATGTTCTCTGGATTATTTGTGTGTATACAATAAAATAGTAATGCATGGTTGGAGAGACGCACTTACGATACACCACACATTGGACTCCTAATTTATTTAGAACATCGATCATATGCTTTCCCTTGGTGACTGTCCTTAGCAAAGAAGGGCTCAAACAGTCACCACTGAAAACCTACCAAAGGATTCAGCGACTGGAATACTTTTAGAGCAGTGGCAAACCTGGGGGGAGAAAACCATAGCGACATTGCGTTTTGTGAAATTGTGATGTATCCTATACAAAGGCTAGTTAGATTGCCCAAAGCTAGACAAAGTGAAGTTTCAACAAGGCAACTGACGTTAAAGTTAATGTTAAGCCTACATTTCCTTTCGAGACTCGCTAACTAACGTTAGCCAACTAGGATTAGCTAACCTTTACCTTGCAGCACCGCCAACGGGTTCTTCTGGTCTTGCTTCTATTTCGTACACATCATTGAAGTGTAAAATAGTGAGAACTACCTCTGGATTGTTACAAGTCACATTTGTTTCCAAACTTGAGAGATATTCATCCATGTTTTATTAGGCTACTGATTGTTGCAGAACTTGCTGTCTTTTGCCTTTTTGCGCAGATGACACAGTAAAGCGAACTCGAACATATCTCCTTGGAGATAAACGGTCTCGCACCCTGAAGAGGAGAACATGAACGCAATGAACAACTAACCTAAGGCATTTCTACCGTTTGGTTAATTACTGCAGCGGGCTAAATCAGGGTCACACAGAGTAATTCTTGGTAGTCTTAAACAAATCTACTTTGAAACAAAAGTATACACCTCACATACATGGTTAAGGGCTTTAATAAAGTTGAAATGTGTTCAATTTTGAGTTTGCATCCCAATATTACACTTGATATACATCACAGAAGACTGAAATATAACAAAACTGTTTGACATAGAAACACCGGATTTCGAAGTAATTTTTTTAATTCTTTATTAGTTATGAAATTATGAAATATAATGTCTCTCTCTACCGCACCTGCTGTCTCGACCTCTGAATGCTCGGCTATGAAAAGCCAACTGACATTTACTCCTGATGTACTGACATGTTGCACCCTCTACAACCACTGTGATTATTATTTGACCCTGCTGGTCATCTATGAACGTTTGAACATCTTGAAGAACAATCTGGCCTTAAATGGCCATGTACTCTTATAATCTCCACCTGGCACAGCCAGAAGAGGACTGGCCACGCCCCAGAGCCTGGTTCCTCTCTAGGTTTCTTCCTAGGTTACTGCCGTTCTAGGGAGTTTTTCCTAGCCACAGTGCTTCTACATCTGCATTGCTGCTGTTTGGGGTTTTAGGCTGGGTTTCTGTATAGCACTTTGTGACATCTGCTGATATAAAAAGGGCTTTATAAATAAATGTGATTGATTGATTGATTAATAACATTCCACTCATGAGGCCAAAGAGGGCGCTTTTGGTCATTGACTGCAGGAAAGGGCTACAGCAGGCCTAGGTAATCCAATATCACAAAATAGCAAAGGTTTTGGCTATTGCGTGTGGGATTTCAGCACCTGGACAGCTCCAGGTCCACGCGGTATTGCAGCACTGTGGACACTGCAATTTTATCTAATACCTTTGACGACTTTTTGCAAATATAATTAATTGTTTCATAGTGTAACCATTTCCCATGTTAGTGCATTTAATGAGAATTTCACCCGAGCCTCTGGTTTGCTGGGTCCTATTAGTATTCATGTCCTATGGGTGTGCAGTGTTGCCAGCCACGTCAGGCCTGTAGCAACTGCTTGTCTCCTGCCTCACCAAGGCAAGGTTAGATACACTCGGGTGGAGGCACTCGAAGAAAAAGACCTTGGGAACAAATTCAGCATCTCGGCAACCAGGAATTGCTTTCCTCTCTGTTTCTAGTAGGCCTAGTGATGAGACAAGTGTTGTCATTGCCTCAAGTGACATAGCTTTTTTTATTTTGACGTTTGGCAACGTTTGCGTTTCCAAAAGGGAATGTTTGCATAGCTACATTGCCGAAGACCCTCCTCAAGCCGTATTCTCAGTGTTTAATGGATACGCACAATGTATATAAGAAATGGTTGCATTTTGTGAATGCCAGTGACTGCTTTCTACGGACCATCACGGCTGCGGTGCGCGAGGAAGGACGCCTCAGCTAGCTGGACCCCGGGTCGCGTGTGTGTATAGGCTACCGTTACCGTATACCATCAGTTGGACTGCTGGACTGAAGGTGACTCGCGCCCGCTTTGCAGTCGAGGCAATGCGGAGAGAGTCGCGAGCGCTCATCCGGTACTTCTGCGCTCTGAGTGCTGCCTGCAAAAATATATGATTCTTCTCAGACAGTAGAGAGAGAAGAGAGATAGAGAGAGAGAGAGAGAGAGAGAGAGAGAGATGAGAGAGAGAGCGAGAGAGAGAGATAGAGAGAGAGAGAGAGAAGAGAGAGAGAGAGAGAGAGAGAGAGAGAGAGAGAGAGAGCACTAATACATCACAGATAACCTATCTATCCTATCCGTTTTAGGATATAGCCTACTGGAGAGGTTTCGACACGACAAACGAAGGATAGAACAGGATATCGGCGAATAGGTGGTGGTGGAGTTTAGGGGGATATAGATAAACAACGTTCTGTATTAGAGCTGTTTTATTAGTGGATGTGTATGCATGAGTTCTGCACCGAATGGGCGCAAGAACCGCCCCAGATCCGCCGGGAACATCTTCCAGATCGGCAAGGCTCCCTACCGAGACCCGGAGAGGAGGGAGAGCACGGAGAGCACCCGCAAAGCCCAGCGTGCCGTGGCTGACTGCAGAATGGTGGGTATGGAAGTTGTGACATGTAGCCCACAGTGCGTATTTCCTCTGCAGGAAATGATGCAGCTAGTCGTGTATTCATTCACCCTTTCTTTACTTCTTTCTTTAACTAATTTCATCAATTTGCACTGATGTTGGCTGTTTAAACACCAACAAACTGCAAATCCCTAGGGAAAATGTTTCCATTTGCGCTGCTGTTGTTGAAGAGAAGACAAATTGACCTGCTCATGTTTTTTACCCGTTGTTTGTCACTGATTGCGATAGTAAGAATTACATTTTGGATCATTAAGTGTTGAAAGCCTGGCTGACGGTGATTTGGGATGATCTCCAGTATCGCCCATATTACAGAGTTCTCTAACGGGCTCTGTTTGATGGACGTAGACGGCCACTGATTTGACAGGTGCTGGCAGAAACGTCCATAATATATTCTCTCCCCTCACATACATCAGTAAACGTCACTGAGTCTCAGCACGGGAAGAACAGCAGAACGCGTCTGAGTCTCGTGCTCTGGTAGAACAGAAAAGCGTTGTCCCATCCAAAGGATCCAATGCTCTAATTCAATGCACATAGCCGAACTTAGCATACGGGGTTGTCGTCAATGAGCAATTGATTCGTTTTAAATAGACGTTCTAGTTGTCATTTCATATCCTAGGCATATCGTATTGTTTTTAGGCATCAATATTGATTAGCCTATCTTTTGTATCGTGGAGGTTAGAATAGCCTAATACCCCTGTCCAGGGATCAATGCTTTTTTGGAAATGGCAGTCAATTTATTCAAGCTCTAGTGTAGAGAAACGATCGACTCAAAGGTGGTTGCTGTCCTTAGCAGGATGGTGCTGAATTGCTAGGGTAGCCTAGTTCTTGAACTTGCAGTGCCGAAATATTCACTGTCACCAATGTAAAAACCTAAAGCTGCTAAATTGACAGCCTACCTGTGAATATAGGATGACAATTTATCTGATAACCTACAAGTAAATACGTTGTTCTGGCAACTGCTGTCGCAAGTAGGCCAATATTCCAAATGTGTCTGCTTGTGAAATTCTAACAATTCCCGATGAGAAAGCCACATATGTTTGCAATAGCCCGCATTAGTTAAACTATATGGAAGAACATTGCAAGGTCTTGCTGGGGCTCGCGACAGAGGAAACAATATTTGAGGTCCAAATCATCTTAAATCATGTTTATTTCATTTTTAATTCCTCAGATTGTGCAGGATTTTAACACGCTTGTGGCGCTGTATCGTGAACTGGTCATCTCCATTGGCGAGATCTCCGTCGACTGCCCGTCGTTACGGGCCGAGATGCACAAGACGCGAACTAAAGGCTGCGAGATGGCGAGAGCTGCACACCAGAGCCTGTCAGTCATTTCAGGGTAAGTAGCGGTCACTGTCCTTGGTGCTGAAAGACAGCATTGGGGCTGTTTCACAGACATGGGCCAAAGGCTTCTACAAAGACCTCCGCTTGGAAATGTAACTTAGGTTTCAGCCTCTGCTTTCAGTCTAGAGTGGCCTGTGTGAGCTTTGATCTTTTGGTCTTTTGGTCTGTACAGGGTTGTAATTTGCATGTCTTTTACTGTCTTCTTATGAAGGATGAAGGACATAAAAGAGATAAAGTGACTTGATAGGCTACAGAGGAGAGAGAGTGAGAGAGAGAGAGAGATAGGGGAGAGAGAGAGTGAGAGAGAGAGAGAGAGAGATTGAGAGAGGGGGGTAAGAGAGAGAGAAAGCGGAGAGATGACTAGCGAGAGGTTTGTTTCGGGGCTTGAGCTCTCGCGCTTTCGTTTTCGTCTCTGCGAGGGTTCTCAGCTGCTCTCTCTCTCTCTCCTCTCTCCTCTCTCTCTCTCTCTCTCTCTCTCTCTCTCTCTTTCTCTCCCACTCTCTCTCTCTCCTAGTTAGCCTTTTCTTGATCATGCACTTCTACAGTTTAGTGGGCTATCCTAGTCTGAGTGTGATATTGACCTGCTAGGCGGCAGGTAGCTTAGTGGTTAAGAGCGTTGTGCCAGTAACCGAAAGGTCGCTGGTTCTAATCCCCGAGCCCACTAGGTGAAAAATCTGTCGATGTGCCCTCGAGCAAGGCACTTAACCCTAATTGCTCCTGTAAGTCGCTCTGGATAAGAGCGTCTGCTAAATGACCAATTATTATTATTATTACTATACTTAATCCTGCTGCTTGGGAGTTGGACAGTTGGCTACATTATTGCAGAAGAGTTCCACTGAGCTTGGAGTTGATTCAGACACTAATGGAAGTTGGTCTGTGGATCTTGGGGCCATGCCAGACCAAGGATATTTTTTCAGAGAAGGCAGTATTACCTCTTTGGAGGATTTAGCTTTCATTTTTCTTTGTACGCCTGCTGAAACAACATGACTTGTTACCATTACAGGTTGTTGACCAGCTTTTCAGATCTTTTCAGTACCAATTATATAGTTCCTACTTCTCTTATACATAGATCTCTGTGGAAAGTATCTAGTCTTCCTACAGATGTAGGATCTTAATTTGATTTTGATCACCCTGTCGCAGTGGAACTTTCCTGCAATGCAGGAAATGTAAAAAAAAAAAATTGGTTTAAAAAGGCTTCTGAAGTTTGTAATTTCAACTTTGAAATTTCAGACTTCATTTTCCCATACGAAAAATGTACTGTATCAACCCCAGCAATATTTTTCCATTAATTATAATCCACATAATAATTCAAATTTCCTTTTGCTGCAGGATTATTTTCCAGCTGTAGTAAACTGGATCCCAAACTACAACCCTAGTCTTACCATTGTCTGTCTGTCTGTCTGAGTGATGCCGGACCTCTCCAATGTGCCAGAGGAAATCAGATTAGTACTTTTGCCAGCTAGCAGCACTCTGACAGGAAACACAACGCTGATTGAGAGAGAGCAATGTTGCTTTTTGTGAGAAATGTAAGAAGCATTAAGTGCATGAAAAATCCAATTAACACAAAAAAACATTATCTCAGCAGTTACAGATTAGTCTGGGTACCAGTTTGTTTGTGCCATCATGCTACTCCTTGCCACTCCTTTTCATGCTAAGGAGTGGTAAGGAGTGGAATGATGGCACAAACAGATCTGGGACCATGCTAGTAACAGAGAGGAATAGAAGGCTTTTGGAACAAAAAGTCAGTTTGATTGGAAAAGTCTCATGTGAAAAATACTTAAAGGTCCAATGCAGCCGTTTTTATCTCAATATCAAATCATTTCTGTGTAACAATTCAGTACCTTACTGTAATCGTTTTCCATTACGTACGTACATACCACAACCAGAAGCCATGGATTACAGGAAACATCCGCACTGAGCTAAAGGGTAGAGCTGCCGCTTTCAAGGAATGGGACTCTAACCCGGACGCTTATAAGAAATCCCGCTATGCCCTCCGACGAACCATCAAACAGGCAAAGAGTCAATACAGGACTAAGATTGAATCGTACTACACTGGCTCTGACGCTCGTCGGATGTGGCAGGGCTTGAAAACTATTACAGACTACAAAGGGAAGCACAGCCGCGAGATGCCCAGTGACACAAGCCTACCAGACGAGCTAAACCACTTCTATGCTCGCTTCGAGGCAAGCAACACTGAAGCATGCATGAGAGCACCAGCTGTTCCGGATGACTATGTGATCACGCTCTCCGTAGCCGATGTGAGTAAGACTTTTAGGCAGGTCAACATTCACAAGGCCGCAGGGCCAGACGGATTACCAGGACGTGTACTCCGAGCATGTGCTGACCAACTGGCAAGTGTCTTCACTGACATTTTCAACATGTCCCTGACTGAGTCTGTAATACCAACATGTTTCAAGCAGACCACCATAGTCCCCGTGCCCAAGGACTCTAAGATAACCTGCCTAAATGACTACCGACCCATAGCACTGACGTCTGTAGCCATGAAGTGCTTTGAAAGGCTGGTCATGGCTCACATCAACAGCATTATCCCAGAAACCCTAGACCCACTCCAATTTGCATACCGCCCCAACAGATCAACAGATGATGCAATCTCTATTGCACTCCACACTGCCCTTTCCCACCTGGAGAAGAGGAACACCTACGTGAGAATGCTATTCATTGACTACAGCTCAGCATTCAACACCATAGTGCCCTCTAAGCTCATCACTAAGCTAAGGATCCTGGGACTAAACACCTCCCTCTGCAACTGGATCCTGGACTTCCTGACGGGCCGCCCCCAGGTGGTAAGGGTAGGTAACAACACATCTGCCACACTGATCGTCAACACGGGGGCCCCTCAGGGGTGCATGCTCAGTCCCCTCCGGTACTCTCTGTTCACCCATGACTGCATGGCCAGGCACGACTCCAACACCATCATTAAGTTTGCCGACGACACAACAGTGGTAGGCCTGATCACCGACAACGATGAGACAGCCTATAGGGAGGAGGTCAGAGACCTGGCCGTGTGGTGCCAGGACAACAACCTCTCCCTCAACGTGACCAAGACAAAGGAGATGATTGTGGACTACAGTAAAAAAAAAAGAGGACTGAGCACGCCCCCATTCTCATCGACGGGGCTGTAGTGGAACAGGTTGAGAGCTTCAAGTTCCTTGGCGTCCACATCACCAACGAACTATCATGGTCCAAACACACCAAGACAGTCGTGAAGAGGGCACGACAAAGCCTATTCCCCCTCAGGAGACTGAAAAGATTTGGCATGGGTCCTCAGATCCTCAAAAAATTCTACAGCTGCACCATCGAGAGCATCCTGACTGGTTGCATCACTGCCTGGTATGGCAACTGCTTGGCCTCCGACCGCAAGGCACTACAGAGGATAGTGCGTACGGCCAGTACATCACTGGGGCCAAGCTTCTTGCCATCCAGGACCTCTATACCAGGCGGTGTCAGAGGAAGGCCCTCAAAATTGTCAAAGACTCCAGCCACCCTAGTCATAGACTGTTCTCTCTGCTACCGCACGGCAAGCGGTACCGGAGTGCCAAGTCTAGGTCCAAAAGACTTCTCAACAGCTTCTACCCCCAAGCCATAAGACTCCTGAACAGCTAATCATGGCTACCCGGACTATTTGCACTGCCCCCCCACCCCATCCTTTTTACTCTGCTGCTACTCTGTTAATTATTTATGCATAGTCACTTTAACTCTACCCACATGTACATATTACTTCAACTACCTCAACTAGCCGGTGCCCCCGCACATTGACTCTGCACCGGTACCCCCCTGTATATATAGCCTCCCTACTGTTATTTTATTTGACTTCTGCTCTTTTTTTCTCAACACTTTTTTTTGTGTTGTTTTATTTTAACTTTCTTTGTTAAAAATAAATGCACTGTTGGTTAAGGGCTGTAAGTAAGCATTTCACTGTAATGTCTGCACCTGTTGTATTCGGCGCATGTGACCAATACAATTTGATTTGATTTGATTACAATTGTCAAAAATAAACAAAAATAGCTTTTTAAGCAAAAAATATTTCTGAACCAAGAGTTTGCTAGGACTATCTGGGAGTGGTCTGAGTGCGGTGGGGAAGGATACTAAAGTGGGTGAGGGGCCTAATGGATGAGAGAATATTGGCAGAGAGGTTTGGAACTCTCTTTGTTATTGGTCTATTAAAATTAAAACCGCCTGGAGATGTCATCAGGTAAGCCAAAACTTCACCCATGCAAAACCTGCTGATTAGAAGGTCCTGAGTAGATTGTATTTTTAACCAGCAACAATCAGGAAATAAGAGTGATCAACATTTTCCACACTTTTACAGTGTTATTTTCATCAGCTGTTGTACAATATGATACAAAATACAGGAACAACATAATTTTGACAGCGATGGGCCTTTAAAGCCTAAAAATAATTAAATAAGTGCTAAAGCTAAAAGCACATACTAAACTTGTGTTCCAAGAATGTGCAAAGTCATTTGTTTATTATGTTCTCTGTCTGTCCCCACATTATTTACATTACTTACTTACTTACTTACTTAATTCCTATGTGGAACATAAGCCTTCCAAGAAAAAGAACCATGTCCCCACATTTCCCGATTTTGAATCTTCATGTACAAAATGGACTGATGTGAAGAGGTGGAAATACTCTCTCTGTTCCCTCGGGTCTGACTTTTTGGCTGAACCTTAGGAACTCAACATGGCTTCCAAGACGCTGCTGTTGTTGTTGTTTTACTGTCACCTTATTCAAATCTTTAAAATGTATTTACCGCTCAAAATTGATAGGGCATATGTGCATTGTTGATGTGAAATGTGTAATGTATTGTTGTGTTGGTGTGGTGACTTGTTTGGATTATGGTGTATCGTTTTTTAAAATTTAAAATACTTTTATGTACATCCTTGTGGTAAAGGAACATTGTGGATGTAAAGCAAGGTTCTGTGCAAGCAGACAGTAGAGTATTATGTCATCTTTGCTTTGACTGGCATTTTTGTGTTGGCCCCACAGGCCTGAGGATGGAGAGATCCACCCAGAGATCTGCAGGCTCTTCATCCAGCTGCAGTGCTGTCTGGAGATGTACATCACAGAGATGCTCAAGTCTGTCTGTCTGCTGGGATCCCTGCAGCTCCACAGGAAAGGTAGGGAATGCTTGACATAAAATGACATAGCAATATTATAACCTGACATAGAGCCTATATATCACTCTTATAGCCAGAGACATGTAGCCTGATGGGATCCGAAATAATCCTAACTGAGCTATTTTGAGCTACAATTCACAGTTTACTGTGTGTAAAACATGTAATTACTATTACATTAGTATTATTAATTGTGTGTGTGTGTGTGTGTGTGTGTGTGTGTGTGTGTGTGTGTGTGTACGTACGTACGTACGTGTGTGTTCCAGGGAAGGAATGCTGTGGGCCTCCCAGGATTGACAGTAAGGTGGATGAGAGCTCAGACATCCCCATTCTAGAAGACACCTCCTCCCCCATGGACTGTCATCAGCTCTGCTGGCTGGTCGCCACAGACATAGACAATACTGAGAGGTGGGCTCACTGTGTGTGTGTGTGTGTGTGTGTGTGTTTGTGTGTGTGTGTGTGTGTGTGTGCACACGCGTGTGTCTGTGCGCGTGTGTTATTAACATAATTCTGGGCGCATTAGCAAAACACACATGAACACTATGTGATTTTTTTTTTTACAAATGTGAATATGATTTCATAGGGACATGAGAGAGATGAAGAACCTTCTCAGCAAACTCAGGGAGACGATGCCTTTACCACTGAAGAACCAAGGTAGGGCCTCCACTGGAGCGCTCAAATGGTTTCTATGCTTGGATCTTATGTGAGTTAGATACACAGTTAAAATGACTTTGAGATGAGTTTGAACTTGTAATGGGCTTATCTGTGTTTGTACGTACCCAGATGACAGCAGCTTGCTGAACCTGACTCCCTACCTACTGGTCCGACAGAGGAAGAGGCGGTTCTTTGGGCTCTGTTGCCTGGTAACCAGCTAAGGGGCCTGCCCTCCTGGGTTGAAGGCAGGAACAGTAACACTTTAGTTGAAGTGTTGTTCATGGCACATCCATAGAAGTGTCCTAAAGCACATCATAATTAAAGTGTCATAAGACATGTCAAAAAATGACAAACATTTCATAAAAGCTTTGTCAACTGGAATGACATACAGTATTTGCATGTCATGACCAATATATTTATTTGCATTATGACACAGTCAAGATATTGACATTTATCATAACAGTGCCACATAACAGAAAGAGCATAGTATGACATGTTTTGGAATGTGTTGAGACACTTTACGATGATCTTATGACACTGTTATGGATGTGTCATGGACAACACTTCACGTAAAGTGTTACTGCGGCAACAAATACACCATTAACCACAATCCTTTACCACTTGTGTCTCCCACCAATCTATTACTGCCATTTCCAATATCCAATACAGTTCTCTCTTTTGTTGAAAAGGCTACCCCATTTTATAATTTTATTTTGTAATACAAAGATAATATGTAATTGCAATGTAATGAAACCAATAGTCAAAACATATATTTTAAATGTATTGCAACTGCTTTTCCTTTTGTTTGGTAAATGGAGTCCAACCTTTTGGTTTGTCAGAGGTTTTCGGGAGAGAGAGACCATTTGAAACAATGTCAACATTTAGTTTCTTCCATAAAGCTGAATTGATGAATTAATGAATTGTGTGTAGGACACAATATGATCTTTAACTTTGTGTCAAAAACAATGTTTCCATGTACGACACTTGCCATGTGTGGCAATACTTTTTGAATTTGACCTGTTATTGAAGTACGACACTTGCAGTAAACAGATATGCTATTTTAGGGCTCCATTCAATCTGTATCGCTGAAGCGTTACAGATTGCTTGATAAAAATGTAAAGGTAATTTCCGATTGAGCTGACATATGCAGCATTTACTGTGAATGCAGTCTCCACTAACATTGCCTTTGGTTTTTCAATCACGCTGTAAAGCTAAACTTCCGCAACGCACATTGAATAAAGCCCTTCATTTGATCACTCTGTTGTCACAGAGAACGTTCCTTCTCTGCAGGAAATGCAAACTTGTAGTGTATTCAAGTTTTTAAAAGTATTCTAAAGTTTGTAATTTCGAGTTTAAAATGTCAGACTTGATTTACCCTAATGTAAAATGTATCAACCCCTACAAAAAAATGTCCAGTAATTATAATCCACATAATAATTCACATATCCTGTTGCTGCAGGATTATTTTCCTGCTGTGAAAAACTGGTCAAATTAACATAGCAGATCTGTATATGGACACACTACTAGATAAAAGGTATAGAGCTATGTTTTTCCAGAACAGAGAAGGTCTGTGCACTACGTCTGTTGTGTGTTTCGCTCTCTGTTTTCCATTTCTAGCTGACCCTGTACTTCCTGTACTGACCTTTATTTAGTCTTCCATGAATCAAACACCTGTACCCAACTTTTACTTTCCATCTTCAAGGAGGAATATACTATACAATACAAAAAAAATAGGAACTTCTTTGCACATACAATATATATCTATAAATTAAGACGTTGGACTTGTATATACAAATGCTCTCTAATCGATGAGCTCTGGAAAATCTTCCAAGTTGGGATAGATTGGTGAAGTCTTGGTTGGCATAAGCAGTTGGCATCTCCCTTTGTAATGCACAGTCTGGGCGGGTATTGGGGACTCAGCACGGGTCTTGCTTATTAGTAATAGTGATATATGTGTAGGGCATGGAGAAGGTACAGTACTGTAGTCAAAGCCAAAATAAAAAGCTATATGTCATTTTACATTGTTAATAAACTTTTTTATTTAAACCGACTGATCTGTTTTTTTAGTCACTGTCTTAATTCTCTATAGGCCCTATTTAGACTTCAGATAAGTTGACTTAACATGGTTAAATAAAAAAACTTAAGTTAAGTCCACTTATCCTAAGTCTGAATCGGGCCCTATAAGAAGAATTTATGAAACACCTTCACAACTATTTTTTGTAGACAGCATTCCTACAGTGAGTAGTAATAGTACTATTCTTAAATGATACTACAATGATCAACTAGCTCAAATCAATTGATAGGAATGCTTCATTTCAATAAGCTTTCAGACACATTGGAGCCAGTTTGCAGTCTAGTTCCATGTGTCAATGAGATGTTTTAAGATCGTTGTATTGTTTCCCTGTTGCCTACAGCATTGTTCCAACGACTGCATGCACCAATTCCCCAAATGGTACCGAAGCCAAAATTCCTGTAAGTTAGTGTTGTATCCACTGGGTGGAGACAGACTCATACAGTTAATTATCAGCAAGATCATTCTCGTCCATATTCAAAGGCATAGGCTCAGTTTAGATTTAGCCAGCAGATGTGAAGATGCAATGTAATGTCATGTTGACATCTAGAGATGATCAATTTGAATAACAATTCAATGGATGTGCAAGTGGAGAGATGATGCAAGCCACAACCACCCACACACACATGCACACACCCACACACACACCCACCCACACACACACGCATGCCCCCACACACACGCACACACGCATCCACACACACGCACACACGCATCCACACACACACACACACACACACGCACGCATCCACACACACACGCAAAGTTCTGAGTGAGAAAAAGAGCTGCCTGAGGTCAGCACAGCCAAGCCCCCTGAGAAGGACCAGCTGGCTTTGTGAATTACAGGACAAAAATACACGGTATTTGGGGAAAAATATGGGACATCCAGTTCAAATTACACACTGGCTAGCCTATTGGGGATACCCTCATTTATCTACTACATAAATTAAAAGACTATTGTCATTGAACGGTTTTTCCTCTATTCTGCATTTACAAACCTGCACCCAATGACAAACCTGCACCCAATGACAAACCTGCACCCAATGAGTTTTGTATCCTTTAGAATGCAATTCCTCCATTGGCCATGCCAGTCTTGCAGTATAGAGCCATTTTTTGTTTACACGCAAACGTCACGTTCACATTGCTTGGTAATCATTCCTGCGATGACATCTGCGATGTTGTGGACAATAACCATCTGATTACGTGTTTGCTAACTTGCATGAGCTGCATCTGAAGTCGGACGTGATCCTATTTATTTCCATGTTAACAAACCACTTTCTGATTCAAATCAAATACAATTTTATTTGTCACATACACCGAATAATAAATGATTACTTACAAGCCCTTAACTAACAATGCAGTTTTGGGCGCGCGCCCGTAGACAAGATGGCGTATTGAATAGAAAGCGGTACAAACCACCTCAAGATAAAAACATTATATTCAAAATCAGTAAGTTAGACTAAATATTAGCATTTCATATATTCGCAGTAAATAAAATTAAATCTGGATAATAACACAAAACAAATCATACGCCTAGAGAAATATATCGACAAATATTACAACAACACGCAACACCCAAACATGGCGGAAGATAAACGAGGAGAACCAATCCCCAAGAGAAAACGCGACTCGTCGACTGATACAGATGATATATGCTTTTCACCACTGGGTCTGGTAAGAGTGGAAAGCAACCTGTTGAAGTCGATAAATGACAAATTGGGCATACTAGAGTTGGTCAGTAAGGACGTAAAATAGTTGAAAGCGAGTCTTGAAATGAGTGACGAAAAAGCAGCAATAATGGAAGCAGAAACCAAAAAATTAAAAGTGACAGTAACTAAGATGGAAACGGACGTTAGGGAACTTAAAAAGGAGTACAACCTTCTGAGAGAAGCCTTACTAGACATCCAAACTAGATCGATGAGAGAAAATATAGTACTTATGGGTATTCAGGAAAAGGAGGGAGAAATAACCAAGAATATTATGAAGGATTATGTGCATACACCGCTTCAAATACCACTCGAGGCTGTCGATAAAATCCAACTCGAACGTGTACACTGTTTCGTACAAAGAGAACAGAAATATGATCGCCCAATCATTGCCAAATTTGCATTTTTTAAGGATAAAGCTATGGTTAAAAGCCTAGGAAAAAGACTTGCTGGCACGAAAATAGGCATGAATGATCAGTTCCCGAGGGAGATTGCAGAAAGGCGCAGAGTTCTGTATCCAATCTTCAAGGAAAATAGATTAAAGGGGAAACGTGTGGCACTTGTGGTCGATAAACTATATATTGACAACCAAATGTTCAGAGACACAAAGACTACTCCATGGCTATTCTAAAAGTTGTAATAGAGGAGTTGAATAATGGAACACCCAATACTAGCAATGATAGGGATTGGAATATTAAATAACATTTATAGTAAGTATAGTATTTTTAAAAGGATAAAACGATATAACAAGAAAAGATAACAAGCAGAATAATACATCTTCAAATACAACTAATTAGAACATGGCTTTTTTGGCTGGCAATTGTTGTTTTGGCGGACGGTTGTTGCGGTTGGTCCTGTGTTCTCCCTGGCGTCCTTTCCCCCTTGCGCCAGGTGTGGGATGTGGGTGCGTTTGCACGCTCGGCCCATTTCCTCCGCAGTCAACCATGTGGTGTGCATTTGCGGTGTTAATTGAGTGAGAAGGGAAATGGTTGCATATCCTAGAGCCGACGGGTGTCTATGAGCAGGGGTAGTGAGAGAGAGCTTCCAATTTTGTGTAGATGAGGGATATACATTTTTAAATATAGTATACATCTAATCTAATTTTGTATTGTCCTATCATGATGGAAAGATCCCCAACCCTATATCCTGGACACCCACCTGAGTGACCCATACACCAAAGAGAAGTTCCCATCTCTTTTATGGACCTGCTGTGAGTATGCAGCCTAAACAGATAAATAAATGCGGTCAGAGACCTACTTGAGCAGCAACGCCCCCTCAAGATTCTGAGCCTGCCTGGCAGGGTTGGTCCTACAAAGCCAGAGCCCCTTGATGGGAGAGCATTATATACAAGGAAATTCTCAAAACTGCTAATGAGAACCTTGACAACCTTTTACCTAGCCGGTGGGGATTCCGGTGGGGTACCCCCACCCAGGTAGTGGCAGTGCTGGCAACACAGGCTGCAGTAACCCACAGGGAGGGGGTCACACTCTGACAATCTGAGAGGGGGTTTATCATTGTGGCCCAGGTGGCACAAAATAATCAAAGGTCTGACTGCACAGAGATGCTTGGGGAAAATGGTTACAACAGGGGACCAGAGTGTTTGTGTCTCAGGTGAAGAGGGTGGATCTGATCTCCATCACCTAGGACTTGACATAGATTAAGAAGATTAATCAAATCTGACATTGTTGTCAATTTCAGATCAATCTTGCATGCTTTCTCAATCAGCTGTAACTGTATGTGCACTCGTAAATCAGGTCCTTTCTTGAGTTGGGCTCTGGGATATAACAGCCGTTGAGTATCTGATTTTATGGTGGATTGTGGAGGAGGGGGGTTGAGTGTGTTGGAGTATGTGAGTATGTGCGTGTGTGTTTGTCCGGCATCTGTTGTGGGGGGTGGGGATGTTGTGGGGGGGGGGGGGGGGGTATGGGATGGACCACTGTAATTATTTGCTAGGATAATAATTGCTTGTCATTAAAGGTAATACAATGGCAATCCGGGTTATATGTTAAAATCCTACATATGAACTGCCGACATTATTACGCATATTAATTGATAATGATGGTAAATAAGATATGCAAGATATTTGAATAGATATTTTTTAATTGTTATATATAGAGGTGACAGCATTGGAAATTATTTTGGCGGTTAATCTGCTTCTGTTTTGTGCTGTTTTCGATGGATGGGTCCTGGCCTCTCGGGCCCTAGGGATCTGGAGGGATGTGGGTGGGATGCCAATCACTGGGATAATGGCTCAACTTGGGGTGGGGAGGGGCTTTAGCGGGGGAATTAGTGGAGAACAATTGAAGGGATACTTAGT